ATACAATCTAGATTTAATCTCTTCGCATAATTTAGTTATAATTAGTAGTTGTTAAATTGTAGTTGATAATCACAAAAACCCAAAAATGATAGAAGATCAATTAGAAGAAAACACGCATTTCTAGGCTAAACAAATATCCAACTCCCTTTCTAGCTCCTTGTGGAAATTGACCCCGATACCACTATTGGGTAAAAGTATTAGCGCCCACTCTTCCTAAGGTTGAGTCCGCTGCGACCTAATCATGCGGTCAGGTGTCGTGATACGAGAGGCCTCCGAAATGGCGGGGGCTGAAACTGAATTGTCTCGACTTGTGGAGGTCGATGAGAGAGCTTTAGCCGAAGCTCCTGAACCAGAAGGGGCGAGACCACTCTGCATCAAGATAGGGAGGCTGGTTCTTGCCAGACAACGAATAGTGCTCCGAAGGGCATACTCGGAGTAATAGACCTTTCCGGTTTGCCATTATTATTCTCTGAATCTATGATTGCTGATGCTCAGGCGCTGAAAGAACGATCCATCGAAGGGCCACAAGGGGCGGTAGACCCCTTTAACTACTTCATTGACGGCGTATACTCTACCGCTACAGAGGACGTCACCGAGTTGGGTGATATACTGGTGCCGAAGAAGAGTCCATCGAGTGGACCTGCCTTGAGCCCGAAATTAGTCAACTGGTTCCCAGACCCGAGTTTGAATCCTGATCGGAAGCGGTCAATTATTATGTCCATTCCGGAAGATGTCCGGGTTCTTTCTGCCCCTGTAGGGGTGGCCAGTTATCTTCGGTGCTTGGTGACCGAGGAGGGTCAAGCCAAGATGAACGAGGTGGAAGTGACTTGTTTGTTCAACGAAGCCCAACAAGCATTAAATCGGGTAACCTCAGATGGCTCCTAATAATTTCTAGTGTGTACTTAGATTTTTTTGTAGATGATTGTAACTACTCTCCTTGTGTTTGTAGGCTTTTGTACTTCACCATGAAACGTTCCTCCGATACCGGAAAGAGCTGAACCAGTACGAGGCCGAGATCCGAGGTCTTACTGAGAAAAGAGACGCTTACAAACTTCTTAGTGAGCAAAGAGAAGGGGAGGCTAAGGGCCTCCGGGCCGAGTTAGAGATGGCTCGAGAAAGAGCATGCTGACCTGGCTGAGCAAGTAAGAAGAATTTTTGAAGTTAGTGACAACGAATCGGGCATGGTGACTAACGGTCCGAACCTATAGATCCAACAGAAGATCGACATGATTGGGCAGCTCCGGGAAGAGGTAGATGCGGTAAAGAAAGAGGCCAAAGAGTGGAAAAAGAACATGGACCGCCTAGCCTCAGAAAAAAGGAGAACGCCCGGGCCTAACTGGCTTCGGCTGAAGTCCAGCTTCGAAGTGTAAAGGAGAAGTCCTTGGCGTAGGCCAAGAAGATCGAGGAACTCCAGTCCCAGCTGAATTCGGCCATCTCTGATCGAGAAAGTCTGGCCATTGAGCTTGAAGCGGCCAAGTTAGAGGCAAAAGTAGTTAAGGCCTATGCCGATGAGATGGTGGCTGTTTAAAAGTCCGATGCCGAGACGGCTCAGATTCGGGCAAAAGACATCACCGAGCATGCTAAATGGCAATCTCGAAGGGAGGCCCTTGAAGAAATCCATGCTCGGGGTTTCGACCTATCAGCTGAGATCAAGAACGCCAAGGAGCTCGAAGCTGAGGATAAAAAGTTGGCTTGTCTCGAGGATGATAATGACCTTGAGTGTTTAAGCGAGTCCGAAGGCGGGGAAGATCCCGAGGGTGAAGATGCTGCCCCTGATGAGGACCAGGCCACTTAGACCTTTAGATGTTTTTGTTTCTTTTTTTTTTCTTTTGCAATTTTGTTGAGGCCGTTCAGCCCTTGTAAATAATTTTATCGGGCTGTTTGGCCCTTGTAAAAAGAATTTTGTTATGAATATATAAGGCTTTCTTTCCCTTTCTCGGCTTTCGAATTTTTCTCTTTGTTTCCTCATTATATTCACAAAGATTAAAATGCCTTAGCAAGAAACAATCAGGTTATGTTCGAAGGTTCAACAAACTTTGCCTTTACATTAATCTGTTTTAAGGCATTTTGGGGGTTCGGTGTTACCGGAAACTTCCTCCCAAAGTAAGTAGCTGAGATTGTAGTTCGCCGATGGTAGCCTTTAGAACCGGTTATGAAAATTTTCTTTTTGAAGGCCATGTTTTTATTGCGGGTTTCGAACGTCTCCGAGCCGTGTTAATGTGGCCTTAGCATTTTAGTTCGGGTGTTGCCCAGTGGGCTCGCTTTCCCGAGTTATCCAGGCTTGCCTAAAATAATAGTCCCCGAGTGGGGATGGTTGTGGCCTTTAAAATTCGAGGGTTGCCTAATAGGTCTTATTCCCCTGATGTCTAATAGCTTGAACCGTTCGAGTTTGTTTTCGGACGGTAATCCCCGAGTGAGAGAGTGATTGTTCAATCTCAGGTTAAGGTGGCCCTTAGGCTCGTTACCTTTAGGGGATCGGAAGCAGGAAATTCCTTAAGGAATGTAAATAAGAAATTTTTAAAAGACAAGATGATTGCAAGGAAGATACTTCTCTTTATTCTTGTGTAAAACAGTATACATGCGTACATGCTTTACGCTGAGGCTCGAGCAATCTATGCGGACACGGTTCGTTTGACCGTTTGGCCCTTACAATAAATCCTACCTATTGAGACCTTTCCATCACGAAGTAATTTCCTTGCTAAAGTCGATATTCGAAGGTAATGCCCCCAGTATTCGAGGTTGATTATAAAGAGAAGCCTCAGATACTGTTGATCAAATCCTTAACACCAATTCATGATCGGTCTTCCATTCTAAGTTAGCACAATCCACTGTTTCCTCGTTAAAAACCTTGCCGGAAAACCCATTAGGGACAAAACCGGTTCAAGGGAAAAAGAGTGCAATGCGTGCTTTTAGACCTAAGACTTTGTACGGCTCCTTGTCGGTCACCTGCAAGTGTTAGTTCGAAATATAAATAAAAGAAAATGAATGGGGTCGTACCTTAGCAGTAGTATCGCTTTAGGTGAGTTACATTCGAATTGCTCGGTAGTTGTTCTCCGTTCATCATTCCGAGCTTATAGGATCCTTTCCCGGTGACCTCGAGAATTTGGTACGGTCCTTCCCAGTTCGGACCCAACTTCCCTTCGTTCGCATTCCGGGTGTTCAGTGTGACCTTCCTTAGTACTAAGTCCCCGACGTTAAAGTATCGAAGGTTGTCCCTTCTATTGTAATATCTCTCGATCCGTTGCTTTTGGGCAACTAACTGAACAAGGGCGGCTTCGCGCCTTTCATCCAACAGTCCCAAGCTCGTATTCATGGCCTTGTCATTTGATTCCTTTGTTGTATATCAGAATCTGATACTTGGCTCTCCGACTTCGACTGGTATTAAAGATTCGGCACCGTAAACCAACGAGAACGGAGTGGCCCCGATACTGGACTTCGAGGTTGTACGATATGCCCATAAGACTTCGGGTAGGATTTCCTTCCATTTTCCTTTGACGTCGGTCAACCTTTTCTTAAGATTTTGGAGTATGGTATTGTTGGTCGATTCGGCTTGTCCGTTCCCACTAGGGTGATAAGGTGTCGATAAGATTCTTTTGATCTTATGATCTTCGAGAAACTTGCTCATTTTGATACCGATAAATTGTTTCCCGTTGTCACATACGATTACGGTTGGCATTCCGAACCGACATATGATGTGGTCCCAAATGAAGTCCATGAATTCCTTCTCCTTGACCTTTTCGTATGCATGTGCTTTGACCCACTTAGAAAAATAATCAGTTATAAATAAGAAAAATTGAGCCTTACCCGGTGCCCATGGAAGAGAGTCGACGATGTCCATTCTCCACTTCATGAATGGCCATGGCGACAAGACCGAATGCAGCATTCCCCAGGTTGGTGAATCATCGGAGCATGTCTTTGGCATTCGTCACATTTTCATACGAACTCCTTCGCATCTTTTTCCATGTCGATCCAGTAATAGCCGACTCTGATTACCTTTCGAACCAATGATTTGGTGCCTGAATGATTTCTGCAGGTGACCTCGTGGACTTCCCTCAGAACATACTCGGTATCTTCCGGTCCTAGATATATTGCTAGCGGGCCATCAAACATTCTTTTGAACAAGGTTCCGCCCTCGAACAAGCTGATTCGGGTTGCCTTTATGCGTAGGGCCCTCGATTCTTTTGGATCTGAGGGAAGTTTCCCGGTCTTCAAATACTCTACATATTTATTTCTCCAATTCCAAGTTAATCTTGTGGAGTTTATTTCGGCATGTCCTTTTTCCACTACTGATCTCATGAGTTGTACGACTGCCCCCGAGTTGAGCTCGTCGTCTTCAACCGACGACCCTAAGTTTGCAAGGGCATCGACCTCACTATTTTGATCTCGAGGTATGTGCTGCAAAGTCCACTCTTTGAATCGATGTAATGTTACCTGCAACTTATCTAGGTACCTTTACATTCGTTCTTCTCTGACTTCGAATGTTCCATTTGTGAGCACGTGATTTTTGCCCTATATGAATTACTCCCATAAATTCAAAACAAAATATTCTTTTTTCCATTAGTTGCAATTTTGTGAATTTTTGTGGCATTTTTGTTAATTGTTTGCATTTGTCTGTGCATTTTTATTTTTATTTAATTGATGAAAAATACAAAAAATATGTTGCATTTTGCATTTAGGATTTAACTTTGCATTTGTAGGAATTAATTAGTAATTAAGTTATTTTATAAAAAGGGGAAAATCACAAAAAATAGTTTAATTTNCACCTTTTGATTTTAACTTTTATTTTTGAGTAGTTTTCTTTTAATTTGTTTTTAAGTAATTGTGATAATTATTATTTAGGTTTAATTAGTATTTATGTTAAGTTAATTTGGTTTAATAATTTAATTTAGGATTTCAGGTTCAATTTTTGAAAAAGAAAAAAGAAAAAAAAAAGAAAACAAAAGGAATTAGAAAAATAAAAAGAGAGGGAAATAGCTTTGCATCAGATCTGGGCCAATCTTTCAATTTTGCCCAGCCCAAGTCGTTTTTCCTCCAGAAACCCGATCAAACCTGGCCCAAAGACCTGTTAAATCCTGTCCAGGAGTCAATCTCCCAAATGGCGTCGTTTGGAGTTCCAAATCTAAAATAAATCCGAGCCCTTCAATCTAGCTCATCCAACGGCTCTCACACTTTCCCCCATTTCTCATAAGACTGTCCAAATTCCCCTTCAGAGACAGAACCAATTCAATCTCCCGTCTCTCTCATCGTCTTCATCTCCCCCTCCTCTAAAACCTTCACCCACCATTGCCACAGGCGGTAAAGCTCCAAAACCTCACCAAATTCTCACCATCCACTCCTCATACCCACCTGAACATTAAACTTCCATTAGTTCCCACAAAATCCCCACCTACTCTTGTCGATTTCAGATCTGAATGTGAGGAAAAGCCCTAGGTTGCCCCAACCCGAGTTGGTTTCTTGATATTCATCCTCGATTGGAGTCAAGACTTGTATTAAACAATTGTTCTGGCCAAGAACAATTGGTTAATGTTAGTTTTGGTTCGTTCGAGAGTCACCAGTTTCCGACCAAGACGCCATTAACTGGTCGAGTTTCGTTGATTGCCTCGTTCGGCGAGTTGTTTCAATTCGTTGATTCAAGTCCGGTCAAATCGGCACTCCCCTCTCTTTTCTTTCGATTCTGTTTTTTTAATTTTTTTTATCTCATTTTTTTGTTACTTCGTTCCCGTTTCTTTTTATTTGGAATAGTTTTAGTTTGTTTAGGGTCGTTGATGTTCAATTGGTTAATATTATAGACTTAGGGTTAATTGTTAAAATCATTCAAGTCCGGATTACTTCTGTGTTGGTTGTTAATTGATGATTTGAAGTTGTTTGAATGTTCTGGACTAGTTTTGGTCTAATTTAGATGCTGTGGTTATGGGCTAGGCAGCCCAAACCCAAGTTTATTGCTAAGAGTGAGCATGAGGGCCTGGTAGAGTAATTAAGGGACATTTGGGGGGCAGTTTAGGTAATTGGGGAGGGGAATATTTTGATAACAGATTTAGAAGCTACTAGGAAGCTGGGCGGGGGGGCTTAAATTGAGTTTCAGATTTTTAACTAAGGACTAAGTGGCAAAAACAAAAATTCAAAAAGGGCTATTAGGCAAATCTGATCTCTCTTTGGTTGCCCTATTGCCTTGCCTATAAAGGCATCTTATTCTTGCCTTGCAAGGCAGACTGGGAAGAGATTTTAAGAGCCAAAAACTACAGAGAATACAAAAAAGGGAAGGATTTCTACTGTTCCATTGAAAGCTTCAGTGATTTTTTTTTTTACTTCTAAAAAAAACAAAATTCCTATTGTGATATTCAAAATGGATTGATGTTCGGTTGTGAAAAGCTTTGATTCAAGCTGGTTGAGGGTTAATATTTCATTGGGGTTTGAGTTGATTTCCTGGGGTTTTTTTGTTGAATCTGGTTGGCTTCTGCTGTTGATTACCTGCTGCTCTGTTGCTGATTCTCCTTTTTTTTCTATTTTTGTTCTCGAAGTCCAGGTACTCTTCTAAATTCTACAGGTGTAATTCTCAGTTTGAAAATAAAATAAAAGCTGAAAAGCATGACTACAGATCCCCTTGTCTCATCTATAGTTCTTCATAATACATATGCTCTCTATCACATGAATCACTGTGTAACTAGATTATTACGTTCTGTATTTGCTTGAAGACTGTTGGCATATTGCACTTAAGCTCAGTCAAGTCTAATGTGTTTAAATGTGTTAGTTCCAAATAGCATCTGTAATCATGCTTGGGAATGAATTCATGGTTGGATTGATGTTAAAGAGGCTGAGGATAAAATGTTAGTGTGAAGGTATTAGTAGAGTTCTGTGACTTATTTAGATATGGTGGTCTGGTGTTGTTTACGAAAGTATGATGGATGTATGCATCAGGAATGTTTTGTTTAAATTAGGCTTGAGGTTATACTTAGTGTATGGTTGATAAATTCAAGTAAGTGGTGACATGAATTATGATTCTCTAATTAAGGTTCCCCATGATTTTTAGTCTCTGGTGTGTAAGTGAATGTCATATGCATATGGTTAACTTGAAGTGGCCCGGGAACGTGTTTCAGTTGATTTCAACCATGGCTTTAACACCTAGCAATTGTAGGTTTAATTTTAATAATTACTCAATACCTAGTTTTTTGATCTGCAATACAACAACAAACCCAGTTTGATCCCAACAGGTGGGGTCTGGGAAGGGTAATCTGTACGCAGACCTTACCCCTACCTAATGCAGGTAGAGAGGCTGTTTCCAATAGACCCTCGGCTTAGGAAGGACAAGAAGAAGAAGTGGAAAGTAAGGAAGGAAGAGAAACGAAGAAGGGGGGGAGGATAAGTAGTACCAAATAATAGCAGCAGGGAATACAATACCTGAGGCAAACACAACCACATAACGTAATAAAAATCTAAGAATATGACAATGCATGCTACTAAGACTATCAGTGAACAACTATAAACTACCTACTAACCTTCTACCTTAATTCTCGACCTCCACGCCCTCCTATCAAGGGTCATGTCCTCAGTGAGCTGAAGCACCACCATGTCGTGTCTAATCACCTCTCCCCAGTACTTCTTAGGCCTACCTCGACCTCTTCTCAAACTCTCCATAGCCAACCTCTCACACCTCCTGACAGGAGCATCAATGCTTCTTCTCTTAACATGTCCGAACCATCTCAGCCTCGACTCTCGCATCTTGTCCTCCACAGAGGCTACTCCCACTCTGTCTCGGATAGCTTCATTCTTAATCCTATCTCTCCTGGTACACCCACACATCCATCTTAACATCCTCATCTCTGCTACTCTCATCTTCTGCAGGTGGGAGTTCTTGACTGGCCAACACTCAGCCCCATACAGCATAGCCGATCGAACCACCGCTCGATAAAACTTACCCTTAAGTCTTAGCGGCACATTCCTAGCACACAAAACACTAGAAACGAGCCTCCACTTAATCCATCCCGATCCGATGCGATGTGCGACATCTTCGTCAATCTCCCCGTTACCCTGGATAATAGACCCGAGATACTTAAAACTCGCTCTCTTGGGGATAACTTGAGCATCAAGCTTAACCTCTACATCTGCATCATGGGTCCCGTCACTGAATTTGCACTCCAAGTATTTTGTCTTGGTTCTACTCAGTTTGAAACCTTTAGACTCCAAGGTCTGTCTCCAAACCTCCAACCTCGCGTTAACTCCGCTACGCGTCTCGTCAATCAACACTATATCATCAGCAAATAGCATGCACCAAGGCACCTCCCCTTGGATGTGTCGCGATAGTACATCCATCACCAAGGAAAATAAAAATGGGCTAAGAGCCGATCCCTGGTGCAACCCCATCACCACAGGGAAATGCTCCGAGTCACCCCCCACAGTCCTCACCCGAGTCGTAGCATCATCATACATATCCTTAATCACCCTAATGTACGCTACAGGCATGCCACTAACCTCCAAACACCTCCATAGGACCTCCCTTGGTACTTTATTGTATGCTTTCTCAAGGTCAATAAATACCATATGCAAATCCTTCTTCCTCTCCCTGTACTGCTCCACTAATCTCCTTACTAGATGAATCGCTTCCATAGTCGAACGCTCCGGCATGAATCCAAACTGATTCTCGGAAATAGACACGCACCTCCTCACCCTGGCCTCCACCACCCTCTCCCAAACCTTCATAGTGTGACTCAACAATTTGATACCCCTATAGTTGTTGCAATTTTGGATATCACCCTTGTTCTTGTAAAGCGGAACCATCGTACTCCACCTCCATTCTTCGGGAATCTTCTTTGTCTTAAAAATAACATTAAATAGCCGAGTGAGCCACTCCAAACCTGCCCGCCCCGCGCTTTTCCAGAATTCTACCGGAATTTCGTCTGGCCCCGTCGCTCTGCCCCTGGACATCTTACGCATCGCCCCTTCCACCTCCTCTACCGTAATCCGCCTACAATACCCAAAATCCCGCCGACTCTCAGAGTGCTCCAACTCTCCCAGCACAATGTGTCTATCCCCCTCCTCATTCAACAGTTTATGGAAGTATGACTGCCATCTTCTCCTAATAAGTGCCTCATCTATCAACACTTTGCCATGCTCATCCTTGATGCACTTGACTTGGTCTAAGTCGCGGGATTTCCTCTCCCTCACCTTGGCCAACCGGTACAACCTCTTGTCCCCGCCTTTGCCCTCGAGCTCCTCGTACAAACGAGCAAACGCCGCGTTCTTAGCCGTCGTAACCGCTAACTTCGCCTCTTTCTTTGCCTTTCTGTAACACTCCCCATAAGTCTTTTTTTCCTCCTCGTTTGTACTCTCCACTAGCTTCAAATAAGCAGCTTTCTTAGCTTCCACTTTACCTTGAACCTCTCCATTCCACCACCAGTCCCCTTTATGACCCCCAGAAGAGCCCTTCGTGACCCCTAAGACCTCTCTAGCAGCTACCCTAATGCAATTCGCGGTCGTAAACCACATACTAGATGCGTCCCCTCTACTCATCCAGGCCCTCATCGCCAACAACTTCTCCCCTAACTCCTGAGATTTGTCCTTGGTCAAGTTACCCCACTTGATCTTAGGTTCCCTGTACCCCGCCCTATTCCTCCTACTCCTCTTGATCTCCAGGTCCATAACTAGGAGCCTATGAAGAGTCATGAGGTGCTCACTTGGGATGACCTTGCAGTCAGTGCACAGAACTTTATCGCCTTTCCTGCAGAGAAGATAATCAATCTGGGTCTTGCCCATTGAACTCCGAAAAGTGACCAGGTGCTCTTCCCTCTTCGGAAAACTCGAGTAAGCTATAACCAAGTCAAAAGCTCTAGCAAAATCCAACAGAGAATTACCTCCCTCATTTCTATCCCCAAAATCGTACCCGCCATGTACATCATCATAACCCCTAGCACTAGCCCCAATATGACCATTGAAATCTCCACCAATGAATAACTTCTCTGTGTGCGGGATAGTACGCACCATCTCGTTCAAATCCTCCCAGAAGTGCTTCTTGACCTCCTGGTCCAAACCTACCTGAGGAGCATATGCACTAATCACATTTACAGTAAACCCACCAACTACCAGCTTAATACTTATCAACCTATCATTTACCCTCCTAACCTGAGGTCCCTGTCAACTAAAATACCAACCCCATTTTTACCCCCAGCGCTCCCTGAGTACCGTAGTTTATACCCGTCTACATCTCGTGCGCTAGTGCCCTTCCATCTAGTATCCTGAACACACGCTATGTTGATCTTCCTCTTCTGAAAAATCTTACCTAACTCTATAGACTTCCCTGTCAACGTCCCAATGTTCCAAGACCCAACTCTTAGTCTAGAGGCTTTCTTACCCCCCTTCCCACCCCTGGACCCCACCCCCAGCCCCACCCGAGGACATGACCTTACTTTCACATCGTTCACTACCGCCACTATAAGCAAAAGGTATTAGGTAAACACTACTACTAAGAACCAATAACAACCACGTCTACGAAACTATCCCTATGGAAACGCAGAATTAAAATGAATAGATGAAACTTTAATCTTAAAATACTAGTAGAGAAGATAAAAAGCAATCAATCCAATCAAAATTGCTGGCAAGGCAACAGTAAATATACGTGTGCCAATACAATTTAAGAAAGATGGAACCTGGATCACAGTCGGGGATGTCTGGACTTCCAAATTCGCTGAATGCTGCTGCTCCCAAACCCGTGTATAGGAAAGTTTCGACGATTTGTCAATTTCACAATTCTCTTGTAGTTAATTCTTCTTGCTGTCAAAGCCTTGGGATTCTTGAATCTTGATGATGAATGATCCAAAAGAATAATCTCCAGAGCAGGAACCTTATCAAAAAAATTGATTAATAGAAATTGTCCAAAAGAATAATCTCCAGATGGATGTGTAAAAACTCAATCGGACGATTTGAGTGAAGTTCAAATTTCTGCAATGTTTACATTTTTTTAAAGAACGTTTGGATGTCTTCTGCTGTAGTCTGGGTTTGACGCATGAAACCCGTTGATGTCGGTTGCACGTGATTGTTATGTTGGGCTTCCTCTATGGGCTCATTGAAAGTTGCTGTGGAGATTCACTCTTCACAGCCTTTGGGTTTGGTAAATTGTTGGGCCTCACGTCAGGCCTGGCCCAAATGACAAACAAAATTGAAAACCTCGGGCCATTTAAATTCACACTTTGAGATTCAGTTTCATCTAGGAATAGACCAGCCCTTTAAGTTGTTTAGCTAGCAAGCCCTTTACTATGGAGGCGAGCCATAATAGATAATAAATAGTTTATGGCCCTCGTATTAATTTCACAACCTAGATATTAAAAATGATTAATATTCAGAGAAAAGACTTTAGGGCTGTTTAAAATACCATTGTGATTGTGTATACGTTCACGTAACATAATTACGATTTTTAAAAAACAAAACCAGAGTATGCGTTCGCGCAACTTTGGACAAAATTTCTTAATAATAATAAAGCGTTATTAATGGTGGACACGTTCGCGTGACACTATTTTGACGCGCCAAACAAATGGGTATACGTACGCGTAACACGTTTCAAGATAATTTTTTTTAATTAAAAGCGAAAAATCCATAGGTTCTAAAATCAGTAATTAAATAATTTAATAAGCCAAGTATGATCTAAGCGACCGTGCTAGAACCACAGAACTCGGGAGTGCCTAACACCTTCTCCCGGGTTAACAGAATTCCTTACCTGGATTTCTGTGTTCGCAGACATAAACAGAGTCAAATCCTTCCTCGATTCGGGATTCTAAACCGGTGACTTGGGACACCATTAATTATTCCAAGTGGCGACTCTGAATTTTAAATAAATAATCCCGTTTCGATTGTCACTTAAATTGGAAAAACTCCCTTATACCCTTACGGGGGTGTAGTGAAAAAGGAGGTGTGACAGCTCTGGCGACTCTGTTGGGGACAAGAACCCAGAACTTCTGGTTCAGGGTTCAAGAATTAGAGCTTGTTAATATGATTTTTACTTGGCTTATTTATTGTTGATATTATTGTATTTTTGTGAACCTTTGTGCTAAACGCTATCTGTTTACCGCTTTAATATTGTTGAATTGTATATAATTATCTTCTTACGCCACCCCTCTGAGTCTTCTAAAAATGGTGCATACGTTCGCGTAGCCCGCTTTTTCTGTAGCAATTATACCAAATAGAGCGAGGCTGGGCAAGCGACAAGGCCGAGCAGACTTTAGTGCTCCCGGTACGTCGCCCCCTCCTCGGCCCAGTTGTCCGCTCGGGTACCCCAAGTCTAGACCAAAACCCCAGGATTTAAACCTAGAAAAACAAAGCTTTATGCCGGATCCCTAGTAGGAACGTTTGTTTGCATCATGTGCATTTGACTTAGGGGACTCAACACAGGGGTTGGGTCCGTCTAGGACAGGTGTACCAGAAATGAAAAGACCATCCTGATGCATCTTACTTGCTATTTGTGCGTTTATTTGCTTTGGATTTGCATGCTAACCGGCTTTTGAATAATGGGAGAAAGTTAGGAAAGGAGAATAGAAGTGTGAGGGTTAAGTGAGTTGATCACCTGTTTTGAAAAACCAATGTCCAAATGGTACTGAAACTCTGCCGAATTTTTGGGAAAAATGAAATTTGTATAGTTGGTTTTGTTTTATTTGCCCGAACTACGCCAGTTTGATTCTCACAGGGCGTGGGATACGTAGACAACCCTCATCGGGTCCAACTTCTCTTTTGCAAAACTAGCCCAAAAGTACAAAACTTTTATTTTTATTGTAAATAAGTAAGGTGATGCCATTCTTGTCAAAAATAGCCGAATGTCCCCAAAAGGGCGCCGGAAGGCTGTTTTTGCAAGAACAGCCGCCTTTGGTCATTTTTTAAGGTTTTGGCCGGTTAGCGAACACAGCCTTAAAATCTTCCTCCTCGAAGTGCTGACAGGCCGTATTGGCAAAGCCGGATATTTTTACAAAAATTTTGAAAAAATAGGGATAACTTATTGAGTCAAAATGAGTCTTGATTTTTCTCCTGTTAGTCTCCTTTTTGAGTCTGTTGGTTTTTATGGTAAAATTCGGTAGGATGAGTCGTTGTAATCAAAATATTTTTATGAAAATTTGAAAATCCCAAAATGTTTTATTATTTATTTTTATCCCCCAGAACTACGCTCGGTCTGATTCATGCAGGGTCATGATACGTAGGCAATCTCCATAGGATTCGACCATAACCAAAAGAAAGAAAAAAAAGAGTGATAAAAAAAAGGCAAGGAAAAAGAGAGGAAAAATAAGAGCAAAATAAAAGGAAAAGAGAGAAAATAAGAAACCGTGAGGAGGAAACAATGGAAAAATAAGAGAGAAAAGTGAGAGAATAAAAACAAAGAGAGGGCAAAGGAAAGAATGAATAGAAAAAAAAAGAAGGAAAAAAGAGAAAGGGAAAGTTGCAAATGGAAATAAGGAAAGCCGAGATGACGCAAGCAATCGATCAAATGCATAATAGAAACGGTTAACTGCTTAGGTGCATTCATTCCCCAAATGTGCGATTGCCTGTCTGTTAAGCTCTAATCACTAACAAGTTTGTTGTTGACAATTCAGTACAAAAAGGTGGTTGGTTTGTGGTTCCCGAAGTAGTAACTCCTCTCCACAACATAAAGTCCAAAGGCAATGGCAGGCAACAACAGAACTGAGTTGGTTGATACCGGGGACCGAAAGCAGTTAGTTGAACAGGACAATGGGTTGATTGAAGAGGTAAAGATGTTGAGACAACACATGGCGGACATGTATCAGGCTTTGGATGACTGGGAAGGCACCACCCCCGCCACCACATAGCTTCCTAGATGCCACCCTTACCCAAGCTCCAGGCACAATGCCAGATGATCCTCCATACTCTCCAGATCCACCCGCTTATCTCCAAGCTCATGATGCCCAATATTACCCCTCAGAGGTTGCCCACAAGGCTCCCTACTCATACAAATAGGGCCCGCGGGATGAGCCTCATGTTGAAAATGAAAGGTTCACAGGAAGAGAAGGGAAAGATGGGATACCCAGGAGGCTGAAAGGCATAGAACAATCCTTGAAAAACAAGCAAGAAAGGGGAGACCAGGGTAGCATGGCTTATAAAGAACTGTCTCTGTCCCCGGACGTTCGCCTGCCCGCGAGGTTAAAGGTGCCAAAATTTAACTTGTATGATGGGTGTGGAGATCTGGTAGCCCACCTGAGGGTCTATTGCAGTGAAATGAGAAGCGTTGGAGAGGAATATGACTTGTTGATGGCCTATTTCAGTAAGAGCTTGACTGGGGCAGCATTGGCATGGCATAATCGTCAAGATGTCGGTAAGTGGCCTACATTGGGTGACATGGCTCAAGATTTTGTTCGATACTTTCAATACAAATCAGGCGTTACCCCAGACCGCTCCTCCCTATCTAAAATGGAAAAGAAGCCGGAGGAAAGCTTTAGGGAGTTTGGGCTCAGATGGAGGGAGCAGGCTGCTCGAGTCAGTACCCCGATTGGTGAAGAAGAAATGGTTAAGCTTTTCCTACAAGCCCAGGGGCCCACCTACTTCAGCCATTTGATCCCGGCCTTGGGAAAGCCTTTCAATGATGTGTTAAAAATGGGGGAGTTAGTAGAAGAGGGAATCAAGTCAGGAAAAATCATGAGTTGTTCGAAAGACATTCAGAACATCCAAGTAAGCTTGGGTGGAAAAAAGAGAAATAGAAAAGATGATCCGATGGGCTTTCCTGATCAACACTTCCAGCCTCGACATCGTCCCCGTGGATATCCTTGCGCACCAGATGATCCTCCCCAATGCCACTTCTCTCCACAGAACTCCCAAAGTTATACATCACTTTCCCAGTACCCAGCTCCACAAAATGCCTATCTACCCCCACGAGCCTACCGAAAACCCCCTGGATCCGGTTTCCGGCCCAATCAAGCATTTAAGAACGAGAGGTTGCAGAAGAAGAAAACCTTCACTCAATTGCGAGAGTCATATGCCAGTCTGTTCCAGAGGCTAAGGAAATTGGATATGTTAAAGCCGATTCAGATAAAAATGCCAAACCCTCTTCCAAAGAAGTTTGATTTTTCTCAAAGGTGCGCATATTGCTCAGATGCCCTGGGGCATGACATAGAGAAGTGGTGGTATCTGAAGAATGCGATTCA